CTATGAAGTAAGTTCAGTCATGTTAATTTTTGAATTATTACAGGATAAGATTGAATTATGTGTTATCTAATCTAATTTTTTTATGAAAGAGATCAAATTATAAATTAGGATGAAATCTAATATCATTTTGTCTTTTACGGAGTCCTAGTCTATATGTTGTATGTGCAGGAAGAAATCGGTAGGTTTTTGGCATGAATGTTTTTTGCTGGGCATGAAAAATTGAGAATGACGTTTTGGCACCGTATTTTTATACCCCACGGCAAGGCACCATCATGACTTTTCATGATTTGGCCGGTCAAACGCCTCCTTGCATCGTCTAAATCAAAATTCATCATGCTGTCAAGTCTATTAAATGTTTAGTTTACGGGACTCTCTCACACGATCATCGCGCTGCTCAAATATCTTAAACCTGCAATTCGTAATTAAGTAATTAACAAGCCATTGCTGATATATTGTTTTCAGTACTTGTCATGTAACTGTTACGTAATTTTAATAAGGATAGTTAAAATTAAAGATTTAAATACCGATCAGAAAAGTAACTAGAACCAAAAATAAAGGTCGGTCTGAAGGAACGAAGTAAAGGCCTTATTTAAATAAGAAATAGAATTTTAAAAATATATTTTTAAAAAGTAATCGAGCTTGAGGGCCTTACTCTGATAAATTTTGTAAAAAAAATTCAGGCCCGAACGACTCTTCAAACCTTGCTCTATTATTATTTTTTTTAGTGAAATATATATTTGAAACCAATTACCTACTCACTTGATTCTACGTACATTATATTATTATTAATTTTAATTTATTTTAAAATTAATTTAATATAATTTAATAAATATTAGTGTATCGTATAAATTTTTGATATTTTTTATTTTTTTATAAGCATTATGTTTGTGTATTTATAAAAAATGAACTATTTTTTAACTAAAATTTAAATTTTATTACTAGACTTTTAAATATGTGTTGTTTGACTTTAAAGAATTATGAGAATTTTAATTTTTTTAATTTTAAAATATTTTCATTAATTTTTAATATTTAATTTTATTTTTTTTAAAAGCTTATAGGCCTAATCTTAAACCCTTTACATAAGGATCAGGCTTGAGAAACGGGGCTAAAAATAAAAAATAAATTTTAGGACTTAGACTCTTAAGAATTGAGTCCATAAAGATCAGGCTCATCTGTATTTTCAACTCTAAAAATAAGCACAGCAAAATCTTTGTTATTTTGATATAATAAACAATACTTCTTTTTTTGACAAAAAATGAGAATGTTTTCGAGGAGAACTAAAAAAAAAAGGAAAGGAAGATGCTCTATCCAATAAATCTTGCTGTTCATTTTTTCTCTTTGACTGCGGTGCTTTTTAAGTCTTCTGTTAAATTTTAATTTTCATTTATTTTAATATCTTCCTTTGCTTGTTTTTGGGATCACTTTAGTGAGACTTAACATGTAAATTAATTAATAATAGATATATATATATATATACATATCAACCCAAGCATGACAAAAACATTAAACTCAAAACAACGAGACTTATGTAGTTAACTTTGAATTTTTAATATATTTTTATTTAATTAAATTAAAACGTGTAGTATATGTTAATACCTCAACAATATTAATAATAAGAATTTATTAAAGAATAAATAACCCATAATAATAGATTCACATGTTTTAATTTAATTGAAAACAAGCACCTTAAATATATAAGATAAAGGATTCATTTGTTTAAAATTAAAAAATAAGTAATTTTTAGATAGTTTAAAAATTTTATATAAAGATATTTATTTTATAAAAATTTTTAAAAAAGAAGACATTATTTATATGTGGTTACAAAATATAAAAGTGATGATTTCTTAGTTATTTTTAATTTTTAATTTATATTTTATTAAAATAATTTATTATTTTATTTTTTTAAAATGTTATAATATCTTCACATGTTTGCCTTTTTAAAACATACTTTCTCATTTATTTATTTTTAAACTCAAAGTAGCTTCTTAAACTAATTAAAAATATATATTTTTTCTAAAATTTTGATTGTTTTTAAAAGTTTAAATAAATATTATAAAAATTTACTAAATCTATTTTTTAAACAAATTAGTGGTTCTTTTTATAAAATAAGTTAAAACAAACATATCCTAAATTCATAAGTTTTGTTCAATTCAAAATATCACTTCATGCTGAATCTTGACATTCGCGTGTTTAAAATATTATACTTAAAAATCAAGCCTGGTAACACTTAAAAATGCAAGCCCATATGCCTTTTTAAGTCAAATTAAGCAAATGACTTTTTCATCCATCGTTTGCTCTGAAACTATATCGTCTTATTTGCATTTTTAACTTATTTTAAAATTGAAAATTAACTTATTTGGATTTAGTTAAGAGGCATATAGAAGTTCAAGGAAGCAGGTTTCTCCAATAATAAAACCCCCAACTGAGTTCAACAACATCAAATCAGTTCATATTGATTTGAATGATTAAATCCAATGTTCTACATAGACATGTGGTTATATTTAATTTTAAAGTGGTCATTTTTTAATTTCAACGTACTTTTGCATTTATCTTACAGTTTTGAATTTTAACGCATCTATATGTTTTCTGCAAACATCATGTAAAAGGACTGGAACCGAATCCCCTCAGACTCTCACCCCGTTAGCGTCCCTCAGCGGCGGGGAGAGCTGCACCCTATTGTCTACATCCAATGCCTCTTGTTTTGCCACATCATATTATATTAAAATAATTTATTTTTTTTAAATTTTACACCTTACTTCACTTTTTTTTTTATATTTTTAAGATAATGATTTAAACTATTTTTTATTTTTTATTTGAAAAATTAATTATTTAATCTCTGTAATTTTGATCCAATTGTAACTCAATCCCTAAACTCTGACTCATTATAACTCAGTTCCTGACATTTTAATTCTATTGTAAATTAGTTCCAGAACTTTACCTCTTGCAGTTTAGTTTTTAAAGTTTCAATCTCTTAAATATAATTTTCTTTATTTTAAAAAATAAAACTATAAAATTTAAAAATATTTTAAATTTATTGCTAGTATCTTAAATTACTAAACTCTTTTAATATTTATAAATATTAGCAATTATAAAATATTTTTAATGTTTATAGTTTTATTTTTTAAAATTTAAAAACTAATATTTAAGAGGTTGAAACTTTAGAAACTAAATTATAAGAAGCAAAATTTAGAGGTTGATTTACAATTGAATCAAAATTTTAGAAACTGAATTATAATGTTTCCCTTTTTATTTTCAAAACTTGTCCTAAAAAATTATTTAACAAAACATGAAATTAACAAAAAATTATTATCCTAATAAATTACTCCATAAAATGTTTCAAAAAAAAGTTGTAGGATAGGCTAACAGGGGCTTACAATATGACTTATTCAAATTCTCACCAGATTTATTTAACAAAAAATTATTTTAAAAAATTTTATAGAGTAATTTATTAGGATAAGTTTTGAAAATAAAAAAAATAAAAAGATTAATTTGAATTATTATCCTAAAAATATAAATACAAAGTAGTGAAATAAGATGTAAAAGTTATTTTAATATGAGCTGATGTAACAAAATATGAGGCATTAAATATAAATTGAAGGGTGTAAATTTTCCCGCCGAGGCTGAGGGAGTGAGAATTTGAGAGGATTCAGATCCAAAAGAACCACAGTTAAACCACCCCCACCCCTTCTTTTTGGTGTAAAATCACCGCAGTTAGGCAATTCAGAAATAAGAAACAACATCCGCCATGAATCATCAACGCGCATCGTATATGCGCTGGGCGGTGATCCTCGCACTTCTCGAGGAGCACCTCAGGCCTGAACCCACGAGAGAGAATCTGGTGAAAAACAAAAGAAAAGAAAAGGGTGGGAGGGAGGACGATCTCAACATTAAATTAAACAGACTATATAAACTAAAATTTGATAATTAAATACTCTAATGTTGATATTCATAAACTTGTATGATTTTTTTTTATTTTTTTAGATATAAAATCTTTTTTATTTCTCTAAAATAGACAAATTTCATGTCGATTCTCAATTTCAAATAATCCACCCCCATAATAAAATGGATTAAAAAAACAAAAAAGATGATTAAAATATAAATGAGAAATATGTCAACCATATCGATGAAGAAGAATAAGTAATTTAATTTATAAAGATGAGAGTAATTATTAATTTAATTTATAAAGATGAGAGTAATTATTGATGAGATTTGTGAAGGATATAATGATTAGCACATATATAATATTGGACTTTCCCAAAAAATGTTCTCCCTCATTCTAAATTACAAATCATTTTTGAAGAAATTTTTTCATTTTAAAATATAAAATACTTAGAGTAGATTAAAATTTTATTAAATGTATAAATTTTAATATTACAATATCTCTTTCTATATTTAATTTCATTCCTTCTATTTTAATATATTAAATGATAATTATTTTTTAAAATTTATATTTTTATTTTAAAAAATAAGGTTATTAAATATATTTAATGAAATTTATTGGTATATAAAATTTTATTTAAAAGTGTTTTATAATTTGAGATGGAGGGATTAATATTCTTTATGTTAAAATAAAGAATTTTTTTTTTATTTTTTAAGCTATTTCATTTTCATCATTTTCAACCACCAAAGACCAAAGTCACCAAACTAAGCCCTTATCCTCATGGCAATCCCGAAACACAATATTATCAATCACCAAGTAAAATCTATATGCGGTGCGGTTATCCTCTTCCTTTTTTGGGTGGTACGAGGCCCACGAACCTCTCCTATATGAGGGTCCAAGAAAGAATCTGGAGCAGGGAGAGAGAACACGATATTAATTTTTACGGGAGAAGGGCAAAAAACGAAAAAAGCTTAATTTAAAATAATACCTAACATAAAATAAGAAAGTGTCAAGGGGTGGGAGGGTGAGAATTTCATTTCATAATAATAACGAAACTATGTCGACATAGTCGCCCTAGTTCGAATGCAACAGGGCAGCGAGCAGAGCATCTACCCGCTTCTTCCCACCCATTCTTTCTTCAAATGATGACATTGTCTCTCTACTTCTCTCACTCCCTCTCTACCCTCTTCGAGTCTTCTCTCCTCGCATCCTTCCGTTTTCGCTGACCTCCGATCCCGTCTCTTATCCCTCTTCCTCGTTCCTATAAATGCCCCGTTCTCCTCCTTCCTTCTCCAACGCTTCCTTCGCCCTTTAAAACCTCTTCCCATGTCCCTTTTCCAGGTTGGCTTTTCTTCACTCTTTCTCTTTTTTCTTTGCGCTTGGATCTTTTCTTTCTCTGTGCTCACACGCCTTTTCTTCTCCTCTCAGGATTTCTGGTCGTTGCTCCAGCTTGAGCGTCCTTTAGGAAAATCAGGTAATAATTCATTCCCTCTCTTTCTTCCCCCACTAGCCCAGAAGAATCGAATTCTTTTTTTTTTTTTTTATGTTGTCTGTGTTTTCTACTGCGATCAACGTGTGAAGAATTGGATGCAATTTGAACGAACTTGATTTCCCTGAAGGAACTGAAATGCGCACGTGAACGCTGGATATGTGAAGCAAAATCTTAGTATTTGATTCATTAATTTCTTCCCTTTCATTGAATTTAAATTAAATTGGAGCCGTTTAAGAGAGTTCAAAAATCCTGATTTGCAAAACTGGCGTAGGTCAATTGTTTTGAAAGGGATTCTAAATCTCTGTACTCGTTTTTCTGCCAAAAAAGGATCGCTGTTCCAGTACTTGTATGAAACCATGACCAACTCGCGCTGCGAAGGGAGCGACTTCGAGCTCTGCCGAGACGACTCTGCCGCATTCGTCCTCAAGTTTGTGGCGATCGCGTCCATACTCATCGCGGGAATGACAGGAGTAGCCTTACCTCTTTTCGGGAAACATCGGTGTAATCTCCGCACAGACGGCAGCCTCTTCGTTGCCGCCAAGGCTTTCGCGGCAGGAGTGATTCTGGCCACCGGCTTTGTCCACATGTTACCGGACTCGTCGGAGGCCCTGTCAAATCCCTGTTTGCCCCAGTATCCATGGTCCAAGTTCCCCTTTACCGGTTTCTTCGCCATGATCTCAGCCCTCTTAACACTCTTGGTTGATTTCGTGGGAACCCAATATTATGAACGGAAACAGGGAATGGCGCGGGACGCCGAAATCCGAGGAAGGGTCGGGACGTCAGAGTCGGGCATGGAATCGGGAATCGTGCCCGTTGTGGAGGTTAGGGACTTGAGTGGGACAGTGTTTGGGGAAGAGGAAGGCGGCGGAATGCACATAGTGGGGATGCATGCTCACGCAGCGCACCATAGGCACAACCACCCACAAGGCCACGACTCTTGTCGTGGTGGCGTTAAGGAACAGTCCCACGTCTCAGGACAGAGCTATGGCCACTCGCACGAATTCGGAGACGATGAGGATGAAGACGGTGTACGCCATGTTGTCGTTTCACAGGTAATACACTACTCTTGTCTCTATTTTGTTTCTCACGTTGAGTTTGTTGTTCAGCGCTGATCAAAATCTTCGAAATCTCAATTTTTATCTTTGTCAATTTTGAATGGCTTCTATATATAAAAGCTGTAGTTGACATTTGGTTCTGCAATTCTTATGGAGAAGGTAACTCGTGCATCGGCCAGTTGGGCCACTTGAAATATTAACACAACTCTGGCCCGTTGCTTCTATACTGGCCCTTACATTTATCACATCAGCCTGAGTATAAATTTAACTATTCTGGCCCAATTAATAGTCAATAGTAGTCGGTAGCCTTGGCGGGCAAAACAAGATAGTTAATAAACTTTTAATTATTCTTTCGACGTTTTGTTTCTGTCTGAGGAATTTGATTAGCATTGATACATGTGGTAGTGACAGTAGTTTACACTTGATAGTATGTTGTGTACCTTGTTTGTAAAGGAACATTTTTTATTTTCGGGTTTCTCTGTAAAGGCGCATCTGGATCAGTTAAAAAAAGAAAAGAAAAGAAAAGAAAAGAAAAGCTCCAATTGTACAAGTTGTCATGTGCTGTCCAACTTGGATATGCAGGTGTTGGAGCTTGGGATTGTATCACATTCAGTGATAATCGGGCTCTCTCTGGGAGTGTCGCAGAGCCCTTGTACCATAAGGCCGCTGATTGCAGCCCTATCATTTCATCAATTCTTTGAAGGATTCGCACTTGGAGGCTGTATCTCCCAAGCTCAATTTAAGACCTCATCAGCGACCATAATGGCCTGCTTCTTTGCCCTGACAACGCCGTTGGGTATCGGAATAGGCACGGCGATTTCTTCAGGATATAACCCATACAGTTCGGGAGCACTCATAACCGAAGGCATATTGGACGCTTTGTCAGCTGGGATTTTAGTGTATATGGCTTTAGTGGACCTGATAGCTGCTGATTTTCTGAGCAAGAGAATGAGCTGTAACTTTAGGCTGCAGATAGCTTCATATTGCATGCTTTTTCTCGGGGCTGGATTGATGTCTGCGCTTGCAATCTGGGCTTGATTCCTTTTCATTTCTAAGATTTCAGAGCACAGTATTTTGCTATTCTATAACAGAGAGAGGGAGATGAATAACGTGAAGATTGGAGGGAGACGAGTATGAGATATCCGCAGTAGTCCCCATCTAATTTACACATAGCAAGCGAGGAAAAAGGGGGCCAACACACAGGGTCGTTCGTCGTCAATGCCTGTCTTCCAACATGCCCTCTTCCCTCAAAACGTGCAGCAACTAGTTAACAAGAGAAAGGATGCCAAGGGATGGGATGATGGTCTCTGTTCGTCAAAAGAATTAGTTTATTTTTAATGTCCTTGTTGATACCCCATGATTCTTTAATGGAAATTTGAAATGTGGCAAGGGAAAATGTTGAGCAAATGATAATTATGTCTATCTAAAAATTAACACTCTATTTGGGTGGTTGGAGGGGAGGGATAAAATTTTCCCTCCCATCCGTATTACTAAACAAGGGGAAGGGTAAAATTTGGTTGGTTTTATTATTTTTCTATGTAAATTTCATGTGTACGGTTTTCTTTTTGAAGTAACATTATAGCTCATAATTTCACTCGAAAATGAGGGGAAGGCAGTTCCTCCCTTTTCCTTGTCCCATCCAAGTGAGAATTTATTTTCCCTTTCCGTCCCCTTCCCTCCAATGATTCACTTACCATCGATGGTCCAGGCTTGGAGTTTATTGCAACTTTTTGGAAATGATGGAGGCTGCATGGCGTCATAGCCTTTACCTTCCGCCGCTTCCTCCAGCCGGTGGACGTCTCCCGCTTTCACAACTTTAGTGGGTGGATATGAGAAAGGCACAGTGCTAAGAATGGAAAATAGCGATAGAATTGCACTATTAATTCTGGCTTCATTTTGGAGTGCACTGTGATCGTTCACACCCTCACACGCACGTTTGTTTGTTTGTTTGTTTGTTTTTTTGTTTTTTGGCACTGAAAGATATCCATTCACTAACAAAACAGACTAGAAGATAAGGGTTGTTTTGTCTCTATTCACATTTTATATTTTTTAAAACTGTTTTGTAATACTAATTATAAAGATTGAAGTTTTATTAAATATATTTATTTTAATATTAACCTTTCTTTTTATATATTTAATGTTCATCACTTCTTTTTTTAATATATTAAATGATAATATTTTTAAAATTTTTTATTTTTATTTTGAAAAGAGATTGTTGTTAAGTATATTTAATGAGATTTATTAGTATATGAGATTTTATCTAAAAGTGTCTTATAATTTGGGACGGAAGAAGTATAATTTTTAAAATAAAATAAAATAAAAAATTATTTGGTTATATCAATTAAAAATAATTTTGAAATTAAAAAATGAACTAATTGTAATGATTATAGGTAGTTAATGATTTTAATTAATAATAAAAATTGATCAAAGTAATTGTAATTTTTAATAATTAAATATAATGTTTAGTACCAAAAAAATATAATGTATTTTAAAAATAAAAAAGTAAAATAAAACTATTTAAATCTATTTTTTTGTTTTTAAAAATAAAATAGTTTTGAAAACAATTAAATGAAAACACCTATCCAAATAAATTTTTAAATTTGTTTACTTTCAAAAATAAAAAATAATTTTTTAAAATAAAAAAACAAACAAGAATCTAGATCAATCACTTTCATTATCCGCCGAAAGAAAGATGTGGGGATGATTAAATATATAAAAATTAATTTTTAAATTATGGGACAATTTGGCAAAATAATCTGTCTAAGTAGTTATCCACACACGGGAGTACATGCTAATGAACCAACTCATTGCATTTGAATGACTTGGCATCGGATGCATCGGAGAAAGGGCCAACACAATAATTATATTGACCAAAATAATGAAATGATAGAGGACGTTTTATTTTCGGCCTGTACCCTTTCATTTTCTGTGCAATATGCGCCGCTTTTATTTGACAGTGTTGAAATGACATCACAGGTGCGAGCAATCAGGAAATCACATTCGAAATGATTTTTTTTTTAAAAAAAATACCCCATCATTATGAGTTTTCATCCATTTTAAGGTGTATTTGGGTTGATGGGGGCAGAGGTGATGGAGGAAAGATTTTATTATTATCTTATTTAATTTCATTGGGGAGAGGAAAGGTAGTTTTGAATGATCTTTTATTTAATTTAAGAAGATAAAAAAATTAATAATTAATTTATTATTATATTTTTATAAATTAATTTAAAATTTTTTAAATTCTTTCTTATAAAAAATAATTTTACACCTCAATTTAAATTGTATAATTTTTAAGAAATTTACTCTCATCCATTCATATTGTCAACATGTAAAAAAAAAATTAAACCAATAATTATAATAATAATAATTTTTTATAAAAAAATAACTAAATATATAAAAAATATGATGAAATATAACTTTTTTTAAAAAATTCAATAAAGTCAATTGAGATCTTGGAGTGAAGCACTATGTAATATAAAGGAAAAAATTTTAGTTATAGGTATACTTAAAATATTAAAAATTAAATAAGGATAAAATAGTTAAAAAAAATTAACTCCCCTCCAAAAAACTTCAATTTAAAGGGAAGCAATATGAGGGAAAGGGCCCCTCACCTCCTCTTTAAATAAAAAAATGGGTTAGCTTGACATTGCAGGGTCGATCCTTAATAGGCTTGGGCCTTAAAAGGGCTTAGGTCTGAATTTTCTTTGATACCTTAATATATGAAGCCTAGCTCTCAACATATTGGGCCCAGGGTCGACTCTGTGGGCTCCAGGCTTTTTAACTATTTTTATTTTTTTCAAATTTTTTAATTAAATAAAAAATTACTTCATTCTAATATAATACCTAGTTAAGAAGGGTATGAAAAGACTGACTAAATAACATCTAAATGAACTAAAAATACAAATGAAATGATAGTAAAGTAATAAGCAATGGATCGGTTAAGTCAACAAACACTCAATTGAGATTAGATGAGATTAAGCCTTGAAGGATTAAGATGTGGGATTAGGAGATCAAGGAAAACAAGAGCATAGGCACAATATGTGCATCAGATAGAGCTTAACTCATGAGTCACGAATGCACGAGCATGATAAGCGACAGGAGAACTTGGGAGATCGATGACAATGAACGTCAACTAGTCAAGCATTGTTGAGACTTGGTTATTGGGAGGGAGTACTATTGGAGTGAGCAACAGGGACGATTGAAGAGTGAGGAAAAATAGGAACAAGGATGAGTTGTGAGTCACGATGACAGAGACAGGGACGGTGATGCAATGACTTGTTAAAGAGTAAGGACAACTTGTAACGGCAAAAATGAGAGAAGTATATTGAAGAAAGAAGAGTAAATGTTGAACTGAATGAATCATTATCATGAATTTAGATGAATTAGGAGATTTAAGGTTGTATATTTTTTGGGAAAATAGCAATCAAGGATTTCTATATGAAATTTATATCAATTAAGAACTAATTATTGTCAAAACTTAAATAAAAAACAAGTTACAATGAACTGTTGTTAAATTTAAAATGAGTTGTTATTAAAACCTAAATAAATATTCATTGATAAAAGTTAACCCGAATCCACAAGTATTCACTCAGATTTTAAAAACAAGTGATCATTGCCTTGGTTGATATAAATTTTGATTAGTGATTATTCATTGTTATTTTTTTTTTTGGCCTTCCATCCTTAGTAGATATGGGCTGACATGTGATGTAGAGTAAGATTTAGTTTATTTTTTTTTTTCAAATATAAGAAAAGTAAAAATTATGAGAATTAATTAAAAAAAAACACATATGGACTTAAAAATGTTGGCCCTCAATCTTACAGGGCTAACTCGTTTAAGCTTTAAAGTCCATTTATCATTTTAAAATCATATTTATAAATCTAATCTTATTGTTATAAGGGCTGACTTGATGGGCTAGGCTCATTTTTCTGGCCTTACTCCCCTCCCCTTCCCTTTAAAAACTTTCAACCAAACAGATTTGTAAATTTTTTTTTCCCACGAGGGAATACTGGAGAAACAATGGCCCTCAGGCTGGCCGCACCCACATGACCCGTGTTGCATGTTTTCTTTTCTAGGTGTGGCATTCACTTGTTACTTACTACGGGCCATAAATAAATCCAAAGACTTCACCATCATTTAAATGATTTTTCTATCTAATCAACGAACATGTTTCGTTCTGATCCAAATAAAGTGGTTTCTTTATGATCCAAAAGTACAGTGTTTCCTTCCGTCTTCTTTGGCTCCGTTTGCCAATGTTATGCCGGTATATATATTGCTTTCTCATGTTTCCTTTTTCTCTCATTTTGACGAGACTTGGTGACGAAGATGTGAAATTTATTGTTGGTGGAATGAAGAATTACAGTGATTTGGATCGTACAAAAACACATTTTTATTCTGCCACTCAGGAAATATTTGAATGAAGGAAGACTCTTTGAAATAGACCCTTTGTGAATCAATGAGAAAGCAAGACTAAAAGTAGAGTTTTTTTTTTTTTTTGGATTGGGACTAAAAGTAGAGTTTGTGATTTTTTTTTTTTGGAAGTTTGTGATGTGATCTGGGGTATTTGTACTTTTCGGTGTGCTTTGATTTTTAGTTTTTTTTTTTTTGCTGGATCTGTTGGTCCGTTTTGATTTTTGGATGTTGATCCGTTTGTCTTATTTGGATTCTTTCGGTTTCGGATATGAGGATTTAAATTTTCCCATGATTCCCACCTTCATCTTCTTTTTTTTAATTCAGTAAATAATCCTTAATTCCGTCTATCTCTCTGAATTGTAAATCTCAAGTCGATTGAAAAAAAAAAATAAAAGAAAACGTTGGTGAGAAACCAACAAAACTGGGTCATTCAGAGGCCCATCCTTAGCCCGATGAACACCCCATCATTATGAAATTAATTTAAAGTTGCTTTATGGAACGTCAAATATATCGGCTGAGGCAATGACTCAAAAGTCAAATGGAAGAGATTGCTTTGTGGCATATAGCTAGTAACCTCATTGTCCGGGTACAAATCCATCCTTTCTTTTGTTAACAGTTTCACCGTTCATGTTACTTAAAATGCAAGGTCGGCAGTTGAGGACGAAGGAGTGAATGGACTACTCTCTGGCAATATAGCAGTCAATAGATGAGTTGAGACCAATTCTTCAGACCGTTCCCTTTCGTTACTTTTTGGATATCGAGGCCGTCTCATCGATTCGTTGAAATTACATGAGACTGATATTCAACATTTTAACATATACTTCACAATTAAGAATGTAACTGTGCATTTATCCAAAAAAGAAAAAACAGAACATAACTCTACAGCAAATTTTCAAAACATAATACATGAGACCCATGTTACTTTTTAATAAAATGAGTAAATATTCTTTAGGGATGGATACATTTGAGGTTTGATTATTCAAAATCTTAAAATTTTGATTTTTGAAAAATCTTATGAAATCATATCCTCTTATATAATTTGACGGAGAAAATCCAATTTAATATGCTACAGCATTATCGTGAAAGTGACATTTAAATGCTACAAAATCTTTTTTTTTTTTCGGTGTAAACTGTAATATTTGATGATTAAAAGCTGTAATATTTGATGATTAAAAAAAATGTTGTTATATTTTTAATTGCACACAAGTATTCTTTTATTAGAGATA